AAGATATATGGTTCATTCTTTCAACAGTTAATCTTTGCAAAGTCAGTTACAGCCTAAATAAAGCAATATCATGAACATCTATGTTCAATTAAATCAGTAAAGAATTTTTTTTATCAAAATATCAATATATATCAATCATATAGAATAAAACAACACATATAAGCCAAAAAAATGAAATTTATACAAATAGCTAAAGGACACATTTGCTGAAGAGTTGTGCAAATCTGTGTTTGAAATAAAAAATTCTCTTACTTAACTAATTTTCTAAATAGAAAAGGTTTATTTCTTTGGCTAAGTTCAATGTTAACCTTTTGAACTGCTCTTCGTCTGGCTTATCACCCAGAGCCTGTTTGCCTTGGGAGACCCTACCAGGAGCATTTAAGCCCTCGAGAACATAGCCTCTAGTATCATCTGAGCACTGAAACCCTTTCAGCGTGTTAAGGTGGCGGTTCAAGGAAGGGACGATTTTTTTATTTTATTTTATAGACTATTTCATCATTTGTTTTATACTTTTTTTTTATGCTGTTGCGCTTATTTACATGAGAAAACACTTCAAAAATGGATGGATTTCCCTTAAGTGCTTCTGACAACCTGGTGGCCTGTGTTTGTCTAATGGCTGCTGTATGGAGGATATCTTCTATATTCATGCAGGCCTCTGTTTGGATGGTGGTTTCTATGTGTGGAGGCCTTGGGTAATGTACAGTCCTGCTTTAAGATAGGGGCCTGGATTTGCAGGATGGCCAGTATATATGTAGGCGCTTGGTTTTGCATTGGAGCCTCAGTTTGTATTCTGTCTCCTGTTTCCATGCTGGGGACCTCTAACTGTGGAACCAACTGTGTTTCTTTGGAGCCTTGCTTGTGTGGGTGCCACTGTTTGATTGGAAGCTTCAGTTTTCATGGACTTCTCTGTTTGTGAGGAAGCTTCATGATGTTCTTTTTTCAAAGAAAGTTTTAACCCTACTGTCAATTGTGCAACTTAAATCTTCAGAGATTTGATCAATTCCTCCTGTTCCTTTAGTCTGGAGTCATTTTCAGTTTTAGTCTTCAGCTGTTCCTCATATTTGACCCTCAGCCGCTGTTCTTCTACCAAACCTCTGCCAGTCAATCTGCCCCAGGCATTTTTCTCAGCCTCCCTCTTAAGGAACTTAAGCTCATGCAGAGCACCTGTAGGCTGGGTTACTGCAAATGTTTCCTGCTTCTCCTCTTTCTCTTCTTTTGACTCATGTGACGTTCACGTTCCAAACTTATTTCCAGTTCTGTGATTTGTTCCATCTGTGCTTTGCAGTCAACCTGAAATTAAATTATTTGTCTTCCCTCCTCATGCAGATCAGCGGTCTTATATTGCAGCTCTTTTTTTAGATCAGTAACCTGCTGGGTGAGATTGTGGATATGTCTCACAGTCCGTTCAATGGAGGATCATCGTAACCGCTGATGCATGGCGCGGCACCTTGTTGCTTCTATAGAACTTAGGGTGTTCAACATCAGTTTTTCCAGTGGCCTGGGTTTGCCATGGCTTTCTCTTGTTTTCTTGTGGTTTGGAAGCCACATTATAAACTGGGACCTGGAAATCTGCATGCTGGTATCACCCCACAAAACGCTTAGATTGATGGTATGTTTAAGGCAGTGTTGTGCCTGAACGCGTTCATTGAACGAAAGTTCATGAACTCGTTCATATTT